ACTCACATGTACCCTCATGTTCGTGACTCTCAAGCTCATGAACTGCATCTCCAAAATTTTCTTTTGAGTTCATGATCCTCTGGCCGATCACCTGCGAGGGTGTGGTCCTCGAAGGTTGTCGCTGCTTCTTGGCCGAAACGATGAAGTTCGGATCGAACTTGAGCCGCCAAGTACGGTGGCGCAAAAAGAAGGTCAGGCTGTCTCTGCAGTCTCCTTTCTTTTTCGTGAGCGCGTCACCTAAGTTCCAGTCGCTCGCAAGCCAAATCAACTTGGTGAGGCAGAATCGAATGGCCTGCTTCAATTGGTATGCCTGTATGGCAGCGCGCATGTTCGACAATCCCAGCAGCGGTGATTCATTCACCATGACCGAGTCGAACCCTCCTTTCGAATCGGTCCCAAGCACACCAGGAACCAAACGGACCTGAGAGTCCGCGAGACTCAGCAAATCCCGGCCCTTGAAGATGGAGCCGGTGCCGTGCATGCCTGCCCATAGCAGTCTGGTTCTATAGACCACATCCTCTGTTTCAACAATCGCCTGCATTTCGGCATCGTTGGTGCCGATCGCCACCCGTTTCAGCTTCCAGCTGCGCCAAGCCACCAAACACATTGGTGTTGGGACGCCCTTGAGAGCGTCAGGGCCTGACAGGAAAACTGTCATGCCTCCCGTCGACCCTCCACGGGGTCTGTTGTTGTGTGCCTGGTCCCCCAGGCCAACCACACACAAATCCTTCCAACGACGAACGCCAGGCAACTTGAAAAACTTCAATGTTGACCCTTCTTTACGCAGCTCCCGAATCATCTCTTGTAGCTCCTGGGCAATCTGGATCTTGGGATCCGTGAAAGCTCAGTAATGAGCAAATTGCAGCGAGCAGTGATGAGCGGTTGTGACTGGACCGCCAACCACTGCAAGGCACCAAGTGATGTCCGACAGGCCGCAATCTCCTTGGGAGTCATGGTGGATGATCCGTTGCTGAACCGAGTGGGATGCACATCAACGTCCTGCAACATTTCAATGTAAAACTGTTGATCCACCACAAGACATCTCCCAAACTTAGCGTCCTTCTGCATGGACAAATCTGTACCTGCATGGCGGTAGCTGTTCTGCTTTGCTGTGCCCCAACGATATTGTTTGTCAATGGCTGCTTTTATCTGTGTCCAACGACTGTCCTTGACATCGCCAGCACGGTGAAAATCATCCACATGTCCAGCCATGAAACCGAGGGGTCGCAGCTTGAAGTGCTCAGGATCCGTGACAGGGTTGTAGGCTTCATTGTCCACAAACCAAATCCAGAAACAGGCATCGCCCTGAATGGACACAGCTCCCAAGTCACGGAGGCTCTTGTCAACATTCTCCCACAGGTTCCTAGGAGCCGTGGTGCTTCCGTAGAAGTTCTTCAAAATGCGCATCACACCATGCTCGGGAATCTGGAGAGCGTCCCTGAGCTCCTTGACACCGGTTGTCCACAGGCGCTTGGACTCTTCAGTGGGGAGTGTTTGCAAAAAGGCGGTGCTCATGTCAATGCCTTCAATGTCCCAACCCTCTTCCATCACCAGCTGATAAGACAAGTTGCGAGTGAGAACTGCTTGCACTGGTGAGGAAGTACGATGGCTTTCATGAAGTAGATCAGGATGTTCAAAACCAAGCAAAACAATTCTTGCCTTGGCCTTCTTTTTGCCATCGGATGTCAGGGTCGTGGAATCAGGCTTGGATGCCACTTCTTGAAGAGCTTCTTCCATGCTCTCCTCCGGAGTGGGCTTCCATGTGAGAACCCACCTGCAGCGCATGATGCGCCCAGAGTCCCAAGCTTCATGCTCTTCGTGACTGTCCAGGCAACGACGGACAGCCACATTGGTCAGGAAGCTGTTGACCTCCTTTGACTTGGCACGAACAAAAAGTTCACGATGTGCGGGCGAAAGCTTTTCCAATCTGACCTCACAGTCACGGAGCTTCTGAGCTAAGAACAGTGAAGGGTGCTTGATGAAACGCTCCTTCTCTCTTTGGGACTTGAAGTCCAACTCAATGTCCAAGATCCAACCTTCTTCGCACATCTCTAAGGCGTGGAAGATCAGGGCATCGGAGTCCAGGCGAGCCTTCTTGGAGTCAGGCTCAGCTGCTGAAGCACTTGCTTTGGAACTGTCGGAGGACAAGGAGATCAAGGGCTTGTTGTCCGAGAGGTTGGTGAAGCGTTCACCCAAGGTTGGGATGCCACTGCCAATGCCAGTGCCGGTCACTTCCTCAGTGTCATCTGGTTCAGCGTGAGTTGGCTGATCCTCATACTCATTGAGAGGTGCTTCTGAGGGAGTATACTCCAGAGATGGCACAGCCGGTGGAGGTTGTGGTCCATGAAGTGGTGACCATGGGCTCTTCATACGATGTCGCTTCTCTGGAGGCCTTTGATCCTGAAGTGTTGATGGACCAGGCTCATCTGGCAAAGGAGGCAACTCAACATCTTCTTCCGTTGGTTCTTCTGGAAGCAGGTCGATGTACGACCGACGAGGCACCATATCAGCCAAGGAGCGCCAATGAGAAGGATCTTCTGGATTTGAGATCTCGTAGTCAAGGCGTTCACGCTCCGTGACCTTTCTGACCGAGTGCACTGAACATCTATGCATGGCACCGGCCACAATGACCCAGACGATGTGTCGTCTTTCCTCCTCCGGTCGTTGACCATGGATGACCTCGTGGAAGACAACTCTGCCCGGACCCAGCCATTGAGGATGGCCAAGCTTGCGAAGACCTCCTCTGGCACCACCATCAGTTGAATAGCGACGCCAGATCTTGACAAGGTCCATGGGCTGGAAGACTTGAAGAGGTTGCCTCACACGGGAATTGCGAAGCTTTCCAAGAACCAACTGGGATCTCGCCTTTCTCGCAATCTCCTCTGCTTGTTGTCGATTGGAGAGCAGGGAGATGAAGTCAGTGCCTGAGACATCAGGAAGAATCTGCTGCATGGATCTCTCATCTTCTTCTGAGAAGCTAAACTGCTTCCCATACACCCACTGATGAGGAGTGTACCCCTGCACGACCTCTGTGACATTGAGGGAGTTGATGGAGAGAGCCAAGATGGTCTTTGCAGAGAGCGCCGGAAAGGAGAGCGCAGTCTTGGAGGCCACGGTCTTGACCTCTTGGACGGCTCTTTCCATCAAGCCATGGCTCCAGCTTTCTTTTGCTGGGGGTACTTCAATCTGAATGTTGAGGTCGGAGAGGGTGGTTCGAGCTTGGGCACTGACCATAGACTTCGCGTTGTCAGGGACCAGAATGGTCATCTTAGGCTTGGAAGCAAGCCAGAGGTCAAAGATGCCCTCGAGGATCTCAGTGGTGTTCTCATTCTCCTGCTTGTAGAGATCCATGGAGCGTAGGATCTTGCCAGCTTTGAAGTGAGTGGCAAAGTCCATCAGAACCAAAAGCTTGTACTTCACCTTGCTGTTTGGTGGAGTCCACTCTGTAGTATCCATTCCCACCATTTCCCAAGCCTTTGGAAGCGGCCGCATGGAAGCTGGTGGTATCTTGCCACTAGAAGTGCCGCCCATCTTCAAGGCTTTGCAATCATCACATGACAGCTTCAAGGCTGCCTCAACCTTCCAGCGGGGTTGACCAGCTTCTCGGATGATGCGGGCCAAGTTGTAGTTGTTGGGATGTCCGGCTGCCTTGTGGTACTTGAGCAGCTGGATGTCCCACTGTTTGCGAAGTTCTGCCTTGGGCTCATCATCATCCTCCAGCTCTTGAGGCATTGCTTCGAGCTGAAGTGAATGGATCTGCTCTTCTCCTGTCATGTGTGCAGCAACGGGAGATTGAAGACGATCAAGCCAACGAGCTGGATAGAGTTCAGCTCGCCAGTGCTGAGCAATTGACTTGCACATCTTCCAAGGGTAGTAGGCGGACCGGTTGGTCTCAACTCCTTGGATGTAGTCGTGGTCATGGGAGCCAGTGCACGTCTTGGCTCGATACACAGTGAAGAAGTGTCTCGAAGTCGTGGCGATGGTCCACTGCTTTCTCAAAGGAAGGCCCTGCTTGGAGAGTAGGCCATAGCGGCAACCATCAATGCGAGCAAAGAGCCACTCCTTGTTGGCCTTGATCATCTCATGACCCAAACGCTGGATCATAGGCTCATTCCAGCCATAGCACCGAGTGGGCCATTCCCAGAAGATCTCGAGGTTGGGGTTGTACTGCACGGCCGAGGACAGGAAGGGAATCAGCCGACGGAACATGGCTCGTTCTTTCCGCCGATACTTCTCAAGGATCTTCTTCTCTTCGACGGTCTGGTAGTTCAGGCTGGTGAAAGGACACCAGTAGGTGCACCTGGAAGAGACCCAGATGCGACGAGGCCGTTCTCTTTTGAACTTGTCCCAAAGCTCATCATAGGTGTCGGCACGGTACATGTCGAAGTTCTGGTGGAGATTGATGCGGGAGGCAGTCAGTCCTTCCGAGTGACAGGCCGAGCTCAACCAAGAATCGGGAGCGCAAAAGACCTCCCAGACATCGACTTGCTGGTGGCCACGAAGCAAAGTGCTCAGGTCATTCTGGGCCACCAAAAGGAGCATGCTACTCAAGGCCATCACGGCCTGGCAAATTCTCCAAGGAAGCACGGAGAGTCCAGATGAACGGGACGGTGCTGAAGAGAGCTGCTCTCCCATCTCCTGTGCGGGTGAAAACGAAGCTGAACCATGGAGTGAGGTGGTTCTTGATGAAGTTGAATTCAAAACATGCTTGGCAGCTCGACGAGACTTGCCACGGCGTGAGGACTTGTTGGACTTGCCCTCATCGATCTTCAAAAGCTCAAACTCCACAGTCTCACAAGTGTACTCCTGATCGGGAACCTCAGAAGCTGTCTCAGCTGTGGTGTCAACGAATTGATGCACCTCCGGTGGAGCGTCAGAGAACTGAACCTTGTTCGCGAACTGTTCGATCTGTAGCTCCGGCACGGTGGTGCCGAGTGTCTCATCTAGCCCAGGTGGATCACTGGACTCTTGGCCTTCGCCGGTGTGATCTCCTCCACTTCCACGTCCGAGCTGGGGCTGAAGGGAATCATCTCCGATGTCGAGCTCTGTCCGGCTTGTCGTTGCGATGCCAGATTGCTGACGTGAGTCCACTCCTCCGGCGTCAAATGAGCCAGGATCCTCTCGGCCTCCGTGGCCTTTGTGGTCTTCTTCTTGGAGCCGGTGTACATGATCTCGAGGCTGTTCAACATTCCCTGGGCTTCGGCTTCCATGGTGGAGATCTTGGCCTTCATGGCACGAATCTTGTCCATTGCTTCCACATAGTCGTAGGTCTTCTCCACCATCTCGTAGTCCGGAAGAGTGCCCTTCGGAATGCCCTCCTGGATCATGCTCAGAGCCTTGTCCACAAAGGTGTGGCCCTTGTGAACCACGGAGCTGGCCGGAGACCCCTGACGAGGAATGTACTCCACGCGGAGAGCACACACGGCGCACTTGGCCCATGAACCATGAGCGTTGCTTCCAGTCACTGAGGGCACGTGCTTGCCGAGACACGGCCAGCATGATGGCTGAGCTCGAGGATCCTTCAAGTCGTGACCCTGACGACGCTCTGGATCCAGTGGGGTCGCGGTCTTGTACCCCTTGGAGGATTTGGCCATCAGATGTCAAAGGAGCCGTCAGTGAGGTTGAGCCAACTGGACAGCCCAAAGCTGCGGAATGCGACTGCTCATTCAAAAGCTTCCGGCGTTGAAACAAAAGCTCAAAACCAGTGCTCATGGAAGTGCTCTGCTTGGTGACATGGACATCAACTGCGGAGACATGACAAGAATCACTCTCGTTGACAGCAAGTTCAAACCAATCACCACTAGGTCCTCCAACCTGTAGTTGCATGCCAGCGGAGAAGGTCTCTGGAGCCTGAGAGCCAATGGAAGGTTGACCGAACAGGTACTGACCGATGTCGACCATGAAGTGACCCTTGGTGTTCTTGGACATGATGAAGGGTTCAGCTGAAGGGTCCATACCAAACACTGCATGACCATCTTGGAAATCCAGAATCAGGCCGACCTTGGTGAGGAAATCCATACCGACAAGAATTGGGACCAGCATATAGTCTTTGAAGGACTTCTGGTAATACTCCGTGGGATTCGGCAGGGCAAACACCTCAAAGGACTTGTTGGGGTTCGTGGAGGCGCTGATGGAGGCAAAGTACATGGCCTGTCCCCAACGACCTGAACCATACCTGAAAAAGGGTCTTCGTTCCACATCGATGGTGACCTTCAACTGTGGATCACTTTCACGCAGCTTGGCGATCAACTTTTTGACAGAAGCTTCAGGTCCAGCCGAGGCCGTAGCCCCGCAATCCAACATGCCAAATCCTTCAGGGATGGCTCGAGGAGCTGGAGTCTCATTGGAGGTGTAGAGCTCCAAGGGAACTGCTTCCATCGTCTCATGGAACTCAAGCGTGTGGAGCTCCATCATGCTAAAATCCATCCCACCATAGTCCATGCCATAGACATTGACGGTGGAACGAAGCTTTCCGCCCTTGCCAGCATTCTTGTTCTTGCCCTTCTGGGTGTACATCACATCCCAAGGCGCCATGTAGGAATCGTCCCATGAGGACATCATTTGATCCTTCCCTTTTCGCACGCCTTTCCCCTTGCCCTTGAAGAGGTAGGCGTCCAGCTCAGCTGGACTCAACTGCTTTCCAACACCCTTGCGGTACTGTGGATGTTGACGGTCAGGACAATCACGAGCAAAATGAGGACCTGAACAAATGTGACAACGAATGTTTCCCTTGCCACCTTTGGAGGATGAGGTTCCAGCAAACTGTCCAAAACCACGGTCACGTCGAAGGGCTGTTGTAGCCTGCTGAGCTTGCGACCAGGTTCGACGAGCTTCAACTGCCAAGGCCTCTGCGGCCTTCTCAGCCTCCAAAGCTTCTTGGAGTTCAGGATCATCATCAGTGGTTGCAGTGTTATCCACTGGGTCGTTGACAGCTTGAGGCCATGCCCCAAATTGGTCCATGGAGTGCCAATCCGACTCATGCCAATCCTCAGTATCCCACGAGGACTCGTGCCACGCAGCATTGTACCAAGGATCTGCGGTCTCAACCCAATGTTGTTGCAACACTGTACCTTTGGATGCTCCATGATGATGATTGAGCTGTTCATCCCATAGGGTCTGAAGAGCCTCAGCGATGGCCGGGTAGTCGAGCTTGTTGCCAGTGCTAGCTAGGATGTCTCTCCATTCATCATTTGTAAGGCTTGCTGCAACAAGTAGTCTCCAGCCACGCAAAACATCTAATATAAAAGAATCCATAGGACCCAAACCATCAATCATCCTCTGTTGCTCTGTCTTGCGGGAAGGGCTCCTTTGTGTTTGACGAGTCCGGTTTGGCGACCCCGCCGGTGAGTGAGGAGCTGCTTCCTCACCTGCGTCGGATGTTTGGGGAACTGCTGCATAACCCTCGGGGGCATCAACTGTTTGCTCAACCTGCTCTTCAAAAGGGGTTTCCTCCCAATCACGCCAGCGTTGATCTCGATGCCAAGGGTTGTAATAGCGTTCACCTTTGTCTGAGGTCTCGGAGGTGGTGATCTCAGGCAACTCAAACAAACGATCTGCAGGGGAGATTCCGTCTTTCTCCTCTTTGAGTTGTAGCAAGGCCTCCTGGAATTCCTCAAAACCTAATGTTTCCCTCACAAGGAATTGTGCAATGCTTTCTCCAGGCCGTCGTTGGAACATGAAATAGGATGACATCGTCGCAGCCGCATTGGGAAGGCTACGCCTCACCAAAGGGGAGGAGGCGAAACGCCTCAACATGACTTGAACTCCTTCTTCACCTTCAAAATCCCTTTGGTGCCAGGACATGGAAAGGAGGCGAGCAGCACCCGACAACCGACTAATCAGTTTGGCAGCGACGTACTTCCGTTGGGAACTCTTCGTTCCAGAAAGATACCATCCAACTTCTTTGCAATAGCGGCGCCAAGTCTTCGAGGAACCGTCCCAGCTAGGCACCTCATTCAACCGATCCTTGACGTCCGCCATGACCCCGGAGCTAACTCTGCTCCGCTACCAGTGCAGTTGGTGTGCACTGGTAGCATGTACA